GCCACAGCTTAACAAAAAGGATCGCAAAGTAAAGCAATGCTTTGCTGCAGAACTATGCCTTATTAATTATGGTTTTTCTATCTTTACGGCATCTCCCACCTATTATATAAACGTAGATGGTATGATAGCTTCTTTCTGAGAACTCAGAATGCTTTGAGCCTTGGATATGACACAGATTGTATTCTGCCCAATGAAGTAGTCTTATTCCTTGTCTTCCCTGAGAGAAAGGAGCACAGCATACCTGTCCCGGTCCTTCCTGTAATACAACTATCCAGACCCTGGTGCACCATCAGGGCTTAAGATATTACTGAGCTCAGTTAAATGGCTTTTAAGAGAAAGGGAAAAACAAAATATAAAGGGATGGAAGTTTGCGAGTTGGGGATATTTGCAGATGATAAAACCTTTATTTATTAAGTTAAACAAATGAGCTTTGGGTAACTTCTGTAGTTTTTGGAGCCACTGATCTGTTCCTCATAACTCAATTTGCCATGCTGTTAGTAATTTAGAACACTGTCCTCTACAAACAGTGGATCTGATCACATGTTGATTGATGTTGATCAACCAACTTCATCAGTTTCCTCTTAGATGCCCTGTCCTTGAAGACTCAAAACTGATAATAATAATTCTAAACATTTAAGCCACCACCACTCTCTTGGTTTTGTTTCTGACTGGAGTGTAACAACCTTCTAAATGGACACAATCTTTCTGTGGTCACAAAGCTGATTGTTCATGCTCAACTGACTTTCAGAGCACTGGCTAGAATGATGTATTGGTCAGCTTTTCATCACTGTGACCACATATCTGACATTACACAACTTCAAGGAGTGAAGATTTAGTTTAGCTCATGGTTTTAGAGGGTTTTGTCTGTGATCATCTGGCTCCAAAGCAGAAATATCATGTCTGATGGGCATGGGAAAGGAAAGGTGATCATTTTATGGCATCCAAGAAGCTAACTGAGGAGGAAAGAACCAGAGAGGAAGGAACCCAGGGCAAGATCTAGTCCCCAGTGTGACTCCCTCATGACGTCCTTTCTTCAGATCCCACCAGCTAGGTCTGCATCATCTTCCCAGAATGCCATCAAATGATGACTTTGTTAATGAATTCATCCACTGGTGAATTTAGAGTTCTCTGACTCCAGTCATGTCTGAAAACACCAGACACACACCCATAAGTGTGCTTTACTAGTTTCCCATGCATTTTTCAATCTTATGAAGTTGAAAATCAAGATTAGCCATCACGATAGGATTGATCAACTACCTTTGCCCACTATTAATTTTAATTTCTTCTATTCAACCTACTGGAGGCCTAGAAGTATCTAAGGCAAAGGATAGTCCGTACTCCCTGGTTCTGCCTTCTCACTCATCAAATGTAGTCAATGCTTTTGAGTCCTTCACTTTCCTTTAGCTTAGCTGTTATCTGTCTAAATACTTAGTAAGACTGAATGCTAATAAGAGACTTTCTTCCTTGAAATTCCACCACCTATAATTTCTGACACCCTTTTCTAATTTAATATGGCCAGCTAAATCTCTTCAAATTCTAACCCGGGCTGCTGCTCCTCTCTTCCCTGAAAGCTGTACCCTTGGTCAGCCTCTTATACCATCATGGAAGTCTCAGATTTGACCTCTGTTTCCCCCCTAAATCCTTGAAAATTGCTACCTGCCTTCCATCCATAGTATACCTCATTATCATTGACCTCATAAAAAATTTAAACAAGGGCAACTCCTCTATGAGAGACTCACACTTCTCTTTTCCTCCTTTTATGCTTTCTCTTCCAAATGCTTGATTCTCATATTCTTGTACTGAGTCTTTCTGATTCACTTATTCTCAACCGTAGGAATAGAAAGAGGAAAAGTACTGGCCCCCACCCTATAGAATCATACATTCTAACATGAGTAGTTTGGGGTGGGATAAATCATTGGCATTTTAAGTAGTTTTATTATTATTATTTCATGATTGACTTTTTATCTTTTTGATCTAAAAATTGCATTTCATAGACTTCTTAAAAGCTAAGATTTGGGTGATAATAACATTGTATCTCCAGGGTCCCAGGCCCTGCAGCATGAGCTCAGTGACAATTTTTATTGTCATAAATAAGGTATTCACACAGCTTGATTTGCTCAGAGTATACCAATTATGCCCACTTTTCTGATTTTCCATTAAATGAGATACCTTGCCGTTCTGATTCTCAGAGGTGTCTCATTGTGCAATAAATTACATAGTCCTCCTAAGCATATCAGTGTATAGAGATCTGAAAATACTCAGTAGTATAGACTGAATTATGCCTTCCCTAAATTCATATGTCAAGCTCTTAACTTCCAGGACCTCAGAATGTGACTGATAGGGCTTATTAAAAACTATTATTTTAAAATTAAGTGATTAAGTTAAAAGAATAAGCTCTAATAAACCTGACTGGTATTTGGAAATTTGGACACACTAAATGACATCAGGAATGCACACAGACATGCAAGAAAAAAACACACGAAGACACATCGAGAAGGCAGAAATTTGTAAACAAAGAAAAAAGGAGAAAATGAACCTTTTCAGCACCTCTAACTTGAATTTCCAGCCTCCAGAACACAAGAAAATGAATTTCTGTAGTTTAAACTGCTTATCTATAGCATTTTGTTATAGCAGTTTCAGTAAAATAATTTACATAATTAAGTGCAAGATAAGACAAATCTAAATATTGCTTCTTATGTGCTCCAGTTTTCCAAGACGGTGCTTATACCATTTTAGTGAGTTCAAGAAATGCACTATCTTGATGTTAGATCTTTTGTTTCCACCAACTGTACAATAAAATATTTGCCTCCGTGTCCTCACAGGACATGTTCACCTTTCACACATCCTGAGTCTGAAAGACTGTTCTCAGTTGGGAGTCTGAGGCACCCATTTCTTTGGAAGCAAGTAAGACAGTGACAGAAATTGTCATAAATGAGTGGATAATACATCATTTCTGCCTGCAAGGAACTACATCCTGATCCAGGAATATCTCATCTTCATGTCCCAAGAGGAGGCAGAGTGAGTTTTCTGAAGGCTCTGGGCAGTACACTGAGCCATCCTGGAGAGAGTTTGGCAATTGTGGGGACAGGCAAACCGGGTTTTAGTGGGTAGAGGAGGAACAATCCTAGTCAAGAGAGTTAGTGGAGTAGGCATTCACTATAGAAGAAACGGTGTAAACACAAAAGTGGACATTTAAAAAGAGAGATCGTGTTCCCTCCAGTGCATGTAAAAATAAGCACACCTTCAATTTTAAATCCAGTCATTTTCCTCTGTCCAGGGAGGTTATAATGTGTAGTTGCTATGCCTCATATTTTTTTAAAACTTTAAAAATGTGAGGTCTTAGAGATTAAATATTCTGCATATTTTTCAACTAGAGTTCTTTCAAGATATTCCCCAAACAGCGCTGGGGGTGTGGCTCAGTGGTAGAGCTCTTGCCTGGGTTTTCTCCCCAACACCACTAAAAACAAACAAATAAGATATTCCCCCAAATATTTAAGCTCAGTTCTTTCACTTCCTCCCATCAAAACAGAGAGAGGCAGAGAGAGATAGAGAGAGAGAGAGAGAAAGAGAGAGAGAGAGAGAGAGAGAGAGACGCAAAGGCCTAAAGGACTTGCGGTTTACCAAAAAGCTCTTCTATCCATGTCATTCTTCCACAGAGTACAGATTAAAGTCACACCCATTCCACAGCTATTTGAACAATCAAATCAGAATATTTTCTTCCTTTGATAGAAAGCAAAAGACATTCTGAGGGATGATGGTGCACACTAAGGGAAGTATGTGCCCTTCCATATGACTGACAAGGGAAATAACAGTCTTGCCATTTTCAGGTGTTTAGAAACATTAAACAACTGAAATAGTCGGCCCCACTGATATGTGATGCATTCCTATGAGGAAATACTATTATTTTAATCCTATATCAAGGCATAAATACAACAGACCTTGTTTTCCACACAGACTCTTATTTCTTTCACACCCAAGCATATGCTGAGAGAGCTCAAGTGACACCCTTGCTTCATCTCTAGGAGGTGTCTTGAAACATTTTTAGCTTACCAAACATAAAATGGAGGTGGATCTGTTTCTTTACTCAAGAATAATCATCTTCAACTGCTTATTTATACTAAAATCTATAGATCAAAATAAATAAATTTCATTCTAAAACTGGCATCTAAGATGTCATAGTTAAAGGTGCAACAATTGTGCTTTGAAAAAAGTCATCCAGGAAATTTCACGTTGCTTCATGATGTTCAAACCAAGTTCAAACCATGATGTCCAAACCTCTTTGGAATGAGGAGGTGAATGGTACTCATAACTTAAAAAGCATCAGCTCCTGAATTAATGAGATCATTTGTAGGCCAAAAATGGTGTAGCTAAAAAAGGCTGAATGCCATATAACAAAGTGCATCCCTTTGATGAACTGATTAAAAGTCTAGAACTATGCTTTATAATACACTACATCTGTAGTCACACATGAATGTTCAAATTAATTATAATTAAATAAAATGAGAAATTTAGTACTTTGGTGGCATTAGCCACATTTCAAGACTTCAGGTATCATATGCAACTAGTTTCTGTCATATTGGATAGCTTGAATAGAAGAAATTTTCATTACTGCAGAAAATCCTACTGGACAGTGTTAGTAGAACACAAAACTCTGAAGATATTATGGGGAGAATAGTATGTCTGCCAAGATAACAACACATGGCAGAAGAAAACATGGTGAGAAGGGAGAACAAATTCCATTCCAAGAATGAGCTACTATTATACAGTATTGACTTTTGTATTACAAAAAATATGCAGAGAAATATTAAACTAAAGTAGAAAAAAGTAAATATCATTATCTGGATACCTCATCCCTCCATTCTCACCATTTATTGTTTGTCCCTCAAATGTTTTTCATCTGCAGCTCACTTCCTGCCTCCAATGTTCTGCTGCTGTAACATTTTTGAATGCTTATTAAAATAAACAGAACTCTGATAAAAATAGAAAAATGCAAACATCCCTTTTTACAAAAAAGGCAAAAACTTTATTTTAAATAAATTATCCATTGTATATTACACCATATCCATATGTAAATCAAAATGATAATGGTAATTCAAAGGAAACAGAGGGCTTCATAAAAGCACATTATCCAAATATTACTCTTGGCCAATGCGTTAGCTAAATACACAGTGGATATTAAAGGAATAATATGGCACTTAAATAAATAAGAGCAAAGAGAAGGAAACATATTCACAATCCAAAGCAATAGGTTTTTGAACCTTTGGTATATGTCTCAAACATCCGTAAACACGTGTTAGCCAATGGTGTTTAGTTCCAAGTTTTTAAATCAGTAATTTGTGTGTATGCATACATGTGTTTCAGAACTAACTCATAAAACAATAAATTGGGGTTGACATGGGCTGATTTAAGGTCTCTGGTGTGAGCACACAGGTAAATTCAAATCATGGCAAAATGTGCAGCTGTGATGCACAACAAAACCATATAAGAAAATGAGTAAGATACACCAATTAGAAATTCTGTGGCTTGGGTAAACACCTTAATTACTAACAAAAAAAGAAGAAAATTTAATGATGTCCAAAGTCCACAAACTGGAAGGCAGAAATACTCCAAAGCTCATAAACACATGCCTAACAGTGCACCAACCATCTCACAGAAGTTTTATAGTTGAATATTGCAGTTCCCTCCCCCCGCCCTTCCCCTCCCATAATAAACAGCACCAGTGTAATTTGAGTTAGAAAACTGGAAATATTGAGACATTCCTAAGGTTTTCATAATGACTAAGAGCCAGTCTGATGGGGCTCTAGTGCAAACCTCTGCCATGGCCAGTCTCCAGAAAGCACCCCATATAATTCCCTCTAGCTTGCAGATAAACCATATTAGGTCTAATGTAAGGCCAGGTTCAGAAAAAAGCTGGCATGCTATCCTGCATTGAGGAAAAGGAGCATGCTGATGGGGGAGATACATGGAGGATCCTCAAGGATATTAGTCCTGCAGCCCAGGATAAAGGGATGTTTTGAAATAGGTCACAAAATTTGTATCAATGAAGTATTTGACTCATGCCATTTACCAGAACACAGAGCTCAGCAGAGCTAAATCTTGCTTGGTAGCTGTGCAAGTCCACTATTAGCAGAATCTGGGCTATAAAAAAGGGGAGCCCAAAGAAAAAGTTCTACTCGTCCATCTCATCTCTCTACACAACTGCTTCTGTGAAGCCAGTGGTATAATTGATGCAAGGTCTTTTCTCTTTTCTTCTACTGATGCAAGATCTTCTCTTAACCAACCTTATCCTACCTCTTAATTGCATGGATGAGGGCTGATTTATCCACATTTGAGCAGTCCATTTGCCCCGGGGCTTCTTGTCACCCCATAGGCCATCCTGAAACCTGCCTTTTCACACATAGGCAGAATCACTGGACTGAGTCCTGCCAAAATTGGGAACACTGACACGTGGCAGGTCCTTGTTCCGGATCTCATAGACTGACTTCCTTTTGGCCTGGGCCCCTCGAACAGCCAGTTTGATCTTGCGCCACCCTAAGTGGTTGAGTTCAGCCAGGTTGAGCACAACACAGATGCCACTCACAGCAAACATGAACACCAGGAAGACAGTCTTCTCAGTGGGCCGCGACACATAGCACTCCACCTCTTTGATGCAAGGGTATCGGTTACACTCATACAACCCCGGGACACTGAAGCCATAGAGAAAGTATTGGCCGACCAGAAACCCAATCTCCAGGGCATTTCGGAATACCACTTGGATGATGTAGAATCGGGAGATGCCTTCCTGTCTTCGGAGTTTAGACCTCGCTGCAGTACGCAGACCCGAGGGGTGTGGAGTCAGCTCCTTAACTTCTAAACAATCTGGCTCTGTCTCCTTGCTGGTGTTCTCTGTGTTCTGCAGCACTCCATTGACAATGGCATTTTGCAACTTCTTATCTTCTCTTTTGCCTCCACCACTACCACCACCCCCAGTTCCTCCAGGACCCCCCATAGACTCAGGGGCGTCTCTGTCCAGAGCTAGGAAGACCGTGGAGTATCGGCGTTCTCGCTGCTTGGCGGACTGGTGCACAGAGTAGGTGATGAAGCAGAGACTGGGAGTGCACACCATTATGATCTGGAAGACCCAGTAACGTATGTGAGAGATGGGGAAGGCGCGGTCATAGCAGGCCTGGTTACAGCCGGGCTGCAGCGTGTTGCACACAAACATGGTCTGCTCATCATCATACACCGTCTCCCCAACAATGGCCACAATGAGGATCCGGAAGATCACCACCACGGTCAACAGGATCCTGAGCAGAGGAAGAGGGAGGGAAGGAAAGAGGTTCTCATGGGATGTACCACCGATGGGAAAGCCCTGTTCTTTCCTTGCCTGTCCTGACGACTGCCAGTCCGCTGGCTGTGGAGCTGTCCACCACGACGTGGTTCTGAACTGCAAACCTGAGAAATATTTCTGTCTTTTTTCTGCTGGGTGCAGACAGACTGAGCACACTTCATATTACAGGGGAACCCCACGTATATGATTCTACATACTCTGGTCATGATCTATTTCCAACATATGAGTTTCACTCTCTATGTGTCACGTATAGAGTTACTTAACGTGTCTCTCCTCTGGATATGGCAAAGTCACACAGAATACTTGTGCAAATAGTACATACTTCAAGGTCTAGACACAGGGCGCGTTTGGAACTATTCTATGTGTATATTTGTTCTATTCTCAATGTTATATTGAACTTAATGCTTTGCAAAAACAGATAACTATGAATATAAACTCATATGTGTGCATGAATACATATATATGCAGATAAATAGATACACATATATGGGCTCACAAAAATGCCAACTGGATGTGTGCACTTCTGACACCATCAGTTTAACAAATCAGTTTAGTGGAATAAATATTTCTTGAGAAAAGACGCATCTGCTCTGAAGAGCAAATCCATCTCCCCATTTGCCCTTTTCCGTCCAAATGCAATGCTGCCTTCTTTATGGATTCTATTTAGGGAACCGGATGGAGATTGGCTCTGGCTGGGGAAGGGGGACCGGGACAGAACCAACAACTCCTCTTTGATGTGGGAAGAGTGACTGCCCCCTCCCCAGCGGTGCTTCCTAGGGGAGGATGGGGAGGCTAGTCGGGAGTAGCAGGAGGAGGGGGCGTGGGGTGATCCCTCAACGCCAGGAACACAGGTGCACAGACCCCAGACGGCGGGGAGGAGGCGAGGACGGGCGGGGGCCGGGGTTGCTGTGGCTGGGAGAAAGCACTCCCGAGGGCCGTCCGACGGGCCCGCTGCGGCCGGGGGGCGCCCTTACCTCCCGATCATAGTGGAGTGCTGCTGCACCGCGGCCTCCAGCAGCCTCTCCAGGATGGTCCATTCCCCCATCGCTGTGCATCCGGAGGCAGCAGACAAAGGCTGGGCAGCACCGGGCACGTTCCCGCTCCTGGCCCCTCCCCGGGCCGCACCTCCCGGCGGGGAGCGAATTGCACCCCAATGAAAGAAGCAAACGAATTTTAAAAAAAAATCCACGATTCCCCCCTCCCTTTTATTGTACTTGAAAGAAATGAGGAGAGAAAGCCCACGCGTCCGGACTGATGGGCAGTGGGCGCGTTCCGGGAAGCAGCACGAGCCTCCGGCGCCCGCCGTCCGGGAATCGGGGCTGATCCCGCGGCAGTTGCCGGGCCGGGGGCGGGGCAGGGCCCCAGCCGGGGTCTGCAGGCACCGCGCCCGCCGGAGGAGCGGGCTGCGGCTGAGGGTCCGGCGGCCACCGGCGCCTGCCACGTCGCGGGCCCCTGGCGCTCGCTCGCGCGCTGCCTCTGCGAGGCCCGGAGCGCGCGGAGCTGGCTGCCGGGCTGGGGAATCCGCGGCCGCCGCCTCTAATCCGCCCTTAAGTAGTCTCCGCCTGCGTCACGCCAGGTCGGCTGCTGTCGCCGCGCGTCGGAGCCCGAGGGGTCGGGGACGCGCGCGGGGGGAGAGGGCCGGAGTCCTGGGGCCTGGCCAGGGCTGGGGCGACTCGGAAAGGAAGGACTGCAGCGCCCCTTGGGGCTTCCCGAGGCGCCCAGGTAACCTCACCTGACTGCCAGCCCCCCGCAGGAGGAAGGGGACCCCGGAAGAGACGCACGGGTGAGTGGGGAGGGGAGCGAGGAGGCAGTGGTTCTTCTCGCCGTGCATCCCTCCCCGTTCGCTTTTGCCTTTGGGGAGACAACTAAAATCTTTATTCTGGATGGAGATGCTGCTAGGGGGAGGTCGCTTTGTAAATCTCGGGGGAGAAGGCAGCGGGGCTGAGACTGAGGATGCCGTGTTTGAGCTCCGAGGTTCCAGGGCTATGCCGAGAAAGGCCTGATAAGAGTCCTTTAGGCTGAAGTGTAAATGCAGGTGTGAAGCCTCCTCTGAGGATCAGGGCTGGATGCAAGTCCGTTACAGCGGAGGCGCCTAGCAATAAGGTGCCCCTGGTTAAAGATCTTACCTCCCCAGCACAAACCCAGATGCCCTGCTGCTTCTATTTTTATTTTACTAATGGGATGGGGAGTGAGCTTCAGGTCAACCTGGTCTAATCTGAATTTAAAGAGACCCCTTATTCTGCTAGCAATGGCACTCCAGCACGCACACGCACCCCACGGCCTTCCTTGTTCAACGTTGACTTTCTTCTCTCAAGGAGCGATCTTGGTTTCTGTTTTTATTTTTACATATTGTTGTCAGCTGTGTTTACAACAACTCTTTAACTGGTCGCTGGAAAATTGAAACGATCACACCAAGTCACTAATTAGCTCTGGGGTCGATATTAGGAGACACTAGAGTTGGAAGTATTTCATGTAAGTGTTCCAAAAGCATGGTGGGCTAAGAAGTTGTCTTTTTAAAAATACAACCGTGCTAACTTGTCTTAGGCATATAATGCTGCTTTAATTACACATGGGCATCATAGAACATATGTGTATCACATAAGGCCACACCACAATGAACTTTAAACTGTAGAATGCCCAAGGTGCTTGGGTAGCTAGTGAATTGGGGTCTGAATGGAACAGTGAGGGTTATGGGCTCAAGTTTATTCTCAAAGCACTTCTACACAAATAGATTTTAAAGGCACAACCCAAGCTCTCACACCAGAAGAATCACCAAGGTCTTCTCCTAGTGCTGATTTCCTCACCCAGAGAAAGCAGCTTTCCAGCTGGATGAATATGAGTTCACTAAAAATGGAGAAAGATGTGAGGCATAAATAGAACGTTAGGGTGAAGACAGGTATTCTGTCTTCCTTTCGGGCAGGGAAGGGGTACAAAAATGGGGGAAAACTGGCATCTTATTGTCCAGTTGGCTTTCTCCATTAAGTCAGTACAGACGTTCTTTCCCTTCGTGTTTACTTACTTAAAACTCATTCTGCGATATTAAAATAGAGTTTGGATGAATAACAATGAAACTCATAGCTATGAAATAAACTTCAGTGTTCATTAGACCATCTTGGTACATTCATTAAAAACACTGTCATGGACTTTCCATTTCAAATGTGCTAAATTAAAATCTATGCAAGTGAATTTTAAGTACCTATATTGTTAATAAGTTCTCATCACTGGCTCTAAAAACAACAAAATATTAAGAATGTATAGTATGTCCATGAGTACTAGGGCAGGAGTGAATCCCAGAAATCAATAAACACCACCTCCTTTTTTAAATAGGTGTAAAAACTGACCCAAAGTTTAGGTGACTTGCCTAAAGTCATACATGCAACAAAAAGAAAAGTTATGAAGGATATATGGTTCTTGAGAAAAAGATTAAAACAATTCAAAAGGCTGAAGAATATAAGCTTTGAGGATAGAAAAAGGAATAAATGTGACTTGGATCATGGGGACATTGTCACTTGAAAGCAACTAAAAAAAAAAATAATTCCTAGTCTGTCAACCTTGCAAATCCATGTGTTAGTAGTAATATTCTTTCACTGGGCAGTAAACTATTCTTCACCTCTAACAGGAAAAATTATAAAATCATATAGCAAAGGGCACTGCTGAATATTTTAATTCAAGGGTGGAATGTATTTTTGAAGAATAATCCCATTTACTACGTGTGTATCTAGATTTGATTTTTCTTTTTACATGCCTATAATCACACTCTTTTCTTAACCATAGGTTCCAAGGTGAACCTTTAGCTTTACTACCTCAAATATTTGGTAAGTGAAATTTCATTGGAAATTGTACATGCTGTAAGAATCAAGGTTAATGTACTCTACTATACTGAACCATAAATTATTGGAGAAGAGAAGACATACCTCATCTATCATGGTGTTTTCTATAGTATCTTTAGCATCGTGGAAATCAACCGTTGTGAATAGCTATGCTGTCTGTCTATTCCTCTCAACTTGGGAGAACTACATGTTTCCTAAGTAGATGTCAGTCCCAGCTCACCTCCTGATACCAAGAGGCATACAAGTCAGGGAGGAAAAAGGAGGTCTTTTAGTCGACTAAAAGTCTCTAGCAGCCTAAGGGCAACTTGGACCCCTCAGTGGGAGGTGTCCTTGCTAACTGCCGGCTCCATTCTCATTGTCAGTTTCTCTCCATCACTGTTGTCTTAACACCTGCTAAAGTAGCCCAGCAAATGTTGCTGAGCTCGTGAAGCCTAGGCTGCCACAGTAGTGAGTGGCCTCAGAGAGCTGATCACAGCCCTGCATACATCTCCCCTGGGAAGCACCAGCTCTGTAGTCTCCTGGGATTTGTGTGGCTGGGAGGGACAGCATCCTATCTGAGATTGGTCTCTGTGTTCAAGTCCCCAACATGTCATTCACAAACAGCGAGGACTAATCAAGCTCTGTCTTCTCCAGTGGCCTTCATACATCTGTTTACTAATGAAGTCATCACATAGTCTTGCAAAGGGGCAAACTCAACCTGTCTTGTGAGACTAAACACCAACAACAGATGAAATCTACTTTTGTCCTACAAAGTAATTGTGTGTGTGTGTGTGTGTGTGTGTGTGTGTGTGTGTGTGTTTCTTATCCTATATTTAAACCTCAGCTCAAATGTTTAGGGAAACATGGTTGGTTTTGTTGTTTAGACAAAATGTATGTAAAGTGTGTCTCCACAGGGAATGTAATGACTGCCAGTATTAAGGAGTCTTCAACACTGTGATTTGCCTTGTGAAGTAGGACTGACCGGAACTTGTTACCTTCAAAACTATTCTGTAACTAGTAGACCCAGTTGCCAAACTGGATAATATCTCCAAAAGACTGTGTACCCAAATGATGGGGAAATCTCATATCTTCCACCTTTGAATAAAACGATATTTATTCCTTAGAAAAAGTATAAATCCTTTACATACTTTGTTTTCAGAAAATATACCTTTGTGTAGTAATGTCACGGAGATTAACATAATATGGTATTGTGGCCAGAGCAGATGTGTAAAATCACAGCAAATAAAATTAACACCCCATTAAGAATCAAATCAGCCTTGCTGACACAGACTCTTTCCCATTTATGTCAAGTCGTGATTCCCATTCACATTGAGGGCTTGGGGGGGGGGCGCGGTCATTAGACTTGCAGGAAGAGATTTCTTTTAAGCCAATTCTATTCAAAAGTCATTCAGCTGTAGCGCACAAGAGCCTGCCTGGGTCTCACCACCCACCTCTTCATGCTGTCTTTGTTGCTGTCCAGCCAGAGACCCAGCCATGCAGGATTTAGCTGAGTTCCCTGCTGAGTGTGCTTCCAGTCTGTATAAAAGAGATGAGGAAATTGCAGGGGAAACGTGTGTGGGTAGGACCTGCCCTCGACAAAACGTTAAGCTTGGCGAATACATTCCAGTCCCCACACTTCTTCCACATTAGAGTGTGCTGCTGAAAGCTAAAACTGAGAGTTAGATTCTTCCTAGTGCTCCTGTCAAAAGCCAAGATTATAATATGGAATTGGTGTGTGTTCCCAAAGGAAACTTCTCTGAGAAGGATCTGCAGCATCTTATCAAGGCCTTCCTTGCTCTCCTGATTCTAGGTGGTATGATGGGTGCATATCATATGTGGTTGTGTGGTGTCTTGACCTCCAGAAATCCAGCCAGTTTCTGTTTTTTGCTAAGACTCCAAGGGCTCTGGCATCACCCAGCAGAACCCACTTGACTTGCGCTCGCTCTCAGGTACCAACATCAAGCCTGGTTCGGAGATTCTCTTGTGTTTACACCTAGGGCAGAGATGGAAAAATGATACCTCTCACTTGTCACCATATTGTCAGCCAAGTGCTTGTCAAAGGCCAGACATGCATTTGATCTGCATCCATTTCTCTAAACTTCAGGAGACAGTATCAAGTTTATCTTTTTGGTATACACCCATCTTGTAAGCTTGACTATAGATTGTCCTTGGTCTTATCTTTCACAACCAGAACTCACAGTGAATCCATAGCCCATTGATCTTTGAGCCTTTTGACCTTTCCCACACCATGGCCCTTACTAAACCTTCATAAAGGAAAGTAATCTGATAAAGGAGCCTGCACCAGGGTATTAATGATTGATAACCACTTAATGT